CTCTGTGGATCGTGGCTGAAAGCAAAGAACACCAGAGTGTGGCCAGAGTGCTCCTTGGAGCCAAGGATGACAAAGCTTCATCTTTCATACTTTGGACATGTAACTAGGTGAGATGGACATAATGCCTGGAAAGATGGAAGGTCAGCTTAGGAGAGGAAGACTCCCAACAAGATAAAGGACACTGTGACTTCAGCAACCGGCTCTAACGTCTTAAGAGATGGCGAGGATGGCACAGAATAGGGCAAGTTTCAGATTGGCTGTTCATAGGGTTGCTATGAGTCATGCTCAACTCTGTGGCACCTGACAACAACAACAATGTCAGAGATGATGAGGATGGCACAGGTTAGGTCAGGTTTCAGTTCTGTTATTCATAGGGTTGTTCTGAGTTGTACTCACCTCGATGGCATCTAACAACAACAATGAGACCCTATGAGCAACACATCTGAACCTTGCCCTAACCTGCGCAGATGACAAAAGTGAAGTGTTTGTTGACAACAAGGGGATTGGACAGCTTATTAATAAAGTGAGATACATGGCACCCCATGGGGGTGGGATCATGTAAATATGGTATGTATGTAACAATAACACAGAAATTGGTCAGTTTTGCCATTTTGATAGGCTCAAAGAGGAACCTCACAGCCATCAAAGAAAAAAAAACAAATCAGGAGTGCTGTGCATCCTTTGGACCCCAAATCCCTGAAAACTCCCTTGAAAGCCCCCAAACCAAAAGAAAGGAATCTCTGAAACTAGAGAGATAGGGAGAAATCACTGAGAAACAGCAGTTGCGGTGGCAAATGGAACAGGAAACCAAAGTGACACAGAGCAGTGAGCTTCCTGATTCAAAGAATGAGAAAGCAGAACGTCATCACGCAGGAAGCTAGCTTGCTGGTGGAGTGATACCTCCAGGCACTTCCCAAGCGAGTTAGGTTTGTCACGCAGGATGTAGGACTGCATGCCCTCAAGCAGGAAGCTGACTGGTGGAGGAAAGCACACAGGGGACTTAAAGAACTTTGTAACACTTGCTTTAGAAGGGCAGGGGCCAAGGGCCGTGGGACTGAGGGCTGGAGTGAGGCCAAGGCCAAGAGGTCTGCCAACAGCGGCTGTTCGAAAAGAAGTACTGTGTCCTGAGTCAGTCCTGAACATTAATTAGAAACCTGTTACTTCCCAAACTAGCTCTGTAATGCTGAGTATGGTCTGTGCCGTTACTTTTCACATCCGGTAGAGAAGTAGAGTGCCATGGCAAGGACCACTGGTGTCAGAATTAGTAGAAAGGGTAGTCATACCTGAGCTCTGCCACTGGAATCAGCTTTGGGCTGTTGTTGCTTCAGGTGATGAATCTCACCCCTCATAAAATTAAAGGTTCTTCTAACCAGGAGTGGTGCCCCTGGCACATGACCTCTGGAAGCAGCTGAGTGGACCAGAGAGGACTAAAGCAGAGCCAATCACATTCTCTTTCTGAAGAACTGAAACCAAAAGAGAGAATTTCTATGGGGAAACAGATGTAGCCTGATGATGCTGGAGAGAAGCACAGAGATGGAGCTATGATTGGAGCAATCACCACATTGAAAGAACCTAGGACAGGCTAGAGGGGCTTGGCTGAAGGCTGTGCAGAGCGTGTAAGTCTGAAATCAGGATGACAGAAGAGATGCTCACAGGGAGGGGAAGACAAGACCACAGCTCCAGAGATGGGAGGAAAGAGCAGAGCTGGGACCTCTCCCTACTCCTGGAAGGCCTAGTGGCTCTTTTCAGAGACACCATGACTGGTACATTGTAAACTTCCACTTTTTCATCTTTTCACCCAATTTTTTTTACCCCTTTTCAGCCAAGCAAGTGAGTCAAAGGGTGGAAGGAGTTGTCTTCTGTGCCTTGCAACCCAGCAGTTCCTAAGCACCTGGTGTGCTCCAGTGCCTCACAAGGCATCCAGGTCTCGTCGGAATAGAGTGATTGGGTCCTCAATCACTGCCACATCCACACCTCCCTGAACCCAGCCACAGACTACTGGGTCCCCCATAAGGAGTCTGTCGTAAAGTCTAAAACAAGGAACCTGCCATTATTCATAAAGCTGCTTTGAGAGGTACACTTAATAAACCTTTCTCAGGAGAGAAAGCAGGACTTCTTTGGATGCTGTGGCCTAGATCTTGACAAAATTGTTTTGATTCTCCCAGAACCCAGATTAATGAGTTCACTGAATTCAAGCAAGGGAACTTCAAGTGAGCTCTCAACGTGAGAAAGTGGTTTTGCAAAGGTCTGAGGTTGAAACCTATTTTTATTATTATTATTATTAATTTCAATGAACATCTACAGAGATTTTGGAATTCCATTCATTCATTGTTGCACTTTTCTCCCCACCCATTCACCCCCACCCCCACCCCCAGTTCGCTCCTCTCCTTGAAAAGCAAAAGAAAAACTCCTTCATTGGTATACAATCCCCTCCCCCCCGCACATCGCCACTCCCACCCCAAGTATACTCCACTCTGCAACCTTCATTCCGGACTCTTATTTTTAATAAAATTAATTTTTTCACCAAGAATTCAGTCTGTCATTTTTGTAACTCTCCTCTATATCCCAAGCAAATGATTTGTTAAACAATTTCTGTGAACAATGTGATTTTGCTTGCTTGCTTGCTTGCTTGCTTGCTTGCTTAATAGTCCAAAACCATTCAAAATGAAAGCTTACTAAAAAGAAATTTTAGAATAACTTGTCTTCCCTGCAGTCATGGGAGGAGGATCTCATGATTATTCCCAGGCCAGCCACACTCAATCAAACTGCACCTAACTCTGAGAAGAATGGGAGTAACAGAACACTTGATTGTGTTTATGAGAAACCTGTATTTGGACCAGAAGGCAATCATCTGAACAGAGCAAGGAAACAGTGAATGGTTCAAAATCAGGAAAGGTGTATGACAGGGATGCATCCTATGCCCATACCTTTTCAATCTATATGTAGAACAGATTATCTGGGAGGTTGGGCTCTATGAGGAGAAATGTGGCATCAAGATTGGAGGAAGACTCATCAACAAGCTGCATTATGCAGACGATACAACCTTGCTTGGGAAACAGAGGAGGACCTGAAGCATTTGCTGCAGAAAGTCAAAGATTGCAGCCTTCAATATGGAATGAAGCTCAACATCAAGAAAACAAAGATTCTCACCACTGGGCCAATTGGCAGCACCATGATAGATGGTGAAGAGATGCAGCCTTCAATATGGATTGAAGCTCAACATCAAGAAAACAAAGATTCTCACCACTGGGCCAATTGGCAGCACCATGATAGATGGTGAAGAGATGCAGCCTTCAATATGGATTGAAGCTCAACATCAAGAAAACAAAGATTCTCACCACTGGGCCAATTGGCAGCACCATGATAGATGGCGAAGAGATTGAGATTGTTCACAGCTTTAGTTTACTTGGCTACACTCTTGGTACCAGCAGCCAGGAAATCAAAAGACAAATTACACTGGGAAAAATATGCTGTCAGAGACCTCCCCAGAGTACTGAAGAGCAATGATGAGACTAAGATGCACCTGATCCTGGCCATGATCTTTACAATTACTTGCCATGCATCAGAAAGCAGGACAATGACTAAGGATAACAGAAGAAGAATTGATGCCTTTGAGTTGTGATTCTAGGGAAGGGTCGTAAACATACCCTGGACTGCCAAGAAAATAAATAGGTCCGTGTTGGAGAGGGTAATACCAAATATGCCCTTGAAGGCCAGGATTTTGAAGCTCCAGTCTTACATGCTTTGAGCAAGTGACCAGGAGGGACCAGCCCTTGGACAAGGAAGGGTAGAGGGGCAGGCCAGGAGAGGAAGACCCTGGGTGAGATGGATTGATACAGTAACTAAGGCAATGGGGATAAGTGTGTTAGAGTCAGTGAGACTGACTCGGGACAGGGCAGGCTTCAGAGCTGCTGTACATAGGGTCACTATGAGTCGCAGGCAACTAGACAGCACATAACAGCAACAAGACAACAATTTGCACACCTTTCTTTACTTTAAACCATGTGTATCCCTCTGCTTAGTTCAGATGACTGACTGCTTTTTGGTCTAGTCTCTGTATCTATTCAATCTGCATGGCGAGCAAATGCTTTGAGAATCTGGACTCATGTAGCAGAATGCGGCATTAGGATTTGAGGAAGACTCATCAACAACTTCCATTATGCAGATGACCCAACCTGGTTTTCAGAAAGTGAAAAAGACTTAACAATGTTTCTTAAAGAAGATCAAAGACTACAGCCTTCAATATGGAATAAACCTCAACATAAAGGAATACAAAAATCCTCACCATAGGACCAACAGGCAGCAGCACGATAGATGGAGAAAAGATTGAAGTTGTTAATTATTTCATTTTACTTGGACTCACCATCAACACCCCACAGCAACAGTCAAGAAACCCAGATGTGTTGCACTGGGAAAATCTGCCATCAAGGACCTCTTTAAAATGCTAAAGAGCAAAGGTATCTGTTCAAAGACTACAAACGTGGACATTCTGTCAGGAAGTAGCAGTCCTTGGAAAAAGATAATCATCTGGGAAAATCAGTGCAAAAGAAGAAGATTTTCAGTGAGATGGATTGACACAGTGACTCAACAATGGTGGAGATTGTGAGGATGGTGCAAGATAGGGGAAGGGTTGGCTCTGTTACAGGGTCACTATGAGTCAGCACCTAACAACATAGAGCCTGCTGTCTCTATCTCCTTCTTGGCTCTATTAAAGGTAATGTTGTTCAACTGTAATCATATCTTCTCACAATGTATCATTTCTGTGACACTCCAATTGTTGGTATTACTTTAAGCGCTTAGGTTTTGGAAAGAAGACTCAGATCTGAAGTGCCCAGAAGTCAAGGCGAAGGACACCACCAGCAGGCAAAGTATCAGGGAACGCTGGCATCAGGGTGAGTTAAGAAGACATGTGGCTTTCTGGCCAGATGGGCATGATTGGGGTTCAGCTGGTGCATGCAGAAAAGGAGAGAGGAGACCCTGCTGGGCCCAAATGCCCTCACCTGTTATGATGACTTCATCTCCGTCCAGCAGAAACTTCCTGGTCTGTCCATTCCCCAGATCGATGGTCTTTGTCCCCTTCCAAGACAGCTCCAACATGGAGCCGAAACTTTCCGGCTCCTTCATAACAGAAAATAAAGATGCGGTCACATGTATTCATATCTTGGTGGACACGTTAACTCCGGAGGAACAGTACTTTTTAAGTACTTTTTAAAAGGCCAGGGATCCCCATGGAGGGAGACTCCTCTTACTGAAGATATTATTTTGTTGCAAACTCCACAAACCTCTGACAAGCAAGCTGCATCTCACCATGAAACCTCTATGAGTTATACCCTCTGATGGAGACTGATGCCCCATCTAACAAAAGGTGCCCTTGGGACTTTTGCCATAGTAACTGATGAACAGGCAACCCCAAGGTCATCCTCTTCTAAGGTTCTGAAACTCTACCATGGTTCACAGTGGCCTGGGAGAAGGCAAAGGGCCATCTTGAGGGCAGGAGGCATGTGAGAAGGTGACAATTATACACAATCACAGTGTGCTTTTCTTTATCATATGCCATTCTAATTCTTCCCTAATTACATAGGGACACAAGCTTCCCAATGTTTACTACTCTCTTCTTGTTTGAATTTAAAACAGAAGCCTCCTTTTTTTTTACTTTATTATTTTGTGTGTGTGTGTACCATCAAATCGGATCTGACTAGTACAGGAGGAGATTGTCCCTCCTGCTCCAGCAGAGCATCTGGTGGATTCAAACTGCACACCTCTGGGATTGCAGTGCAGCTTCTTGCCACTAGGCCATCAGAGCTCACCTAAAACAGAAGCCTCCTTTTCTTTCAAACAGTTTTACAAAGCTATAAGGAAGGGAGAGCTTTAAAATACAAGACCCTTGAGTCTCTTCTTAAGGGTGAGCTGAGGGGCAGCCCTCTGCCTGGGGAGAGCTGGAGAATAAGGATGCTGGATATGGGTGATCACAAATCCACCTAGAACTCACCGGCCCACTGATGGTTCCAGAAGCCAGCAGGTCTCCTGGCCGGAGGTTGCAACCATTAACCGAGTGGTGAGTGAGCTGCTGCAGCATTGTCCAGTACATGTGCTGTGGGAAAGGAACATGGAGGGTGGAGATGAGCCTAGGCCTCCCCTGATGCATCTGAGCCCATAGCAGTCTCCCACGCTGCCCCACTCACGACACCCTGGCTGTCCTCCAGCCAGCTCTCAGGTCTCAGCAACAACAGACCACCTTCCTGCAGTTACCCAGCAACCCTCTCCTACCTGCATTAAACAGCCCCAGCTTCTCTGTCCCTTTAAAGCCCTGCCCTAAGCCAGCTCCTCCAAGAAGTGCTTTCTGAGAGCCGATGTCCTTGCTCAGTCCCTCAGCCTGCACTTCACTCATCTGTCATCATTACACTGTGCACTGTGAAGCTCTTAAGTCCTAAGGTGACAAAGTCTATGTCTTTATCATAAAAGAGGCTTCTCAGGGGAGCTCTGGTGGCCTAGTGGCAAGAAGCTGCAACTACAATCCCAGAGGTGCACGGTTCGAATCCACCAGATGCTCTGCCGGGGAAGGAGGGGCAATCTCCTCCTGTACCAGTCAGATCTGATTTGACGGTACACGCACACAAAAATAATAAAATAAAAAAAAAGAGGCTTCTCATGAGCAAAAGCCCCATTTTTGGTCCCCCCTTGGAACAGATATTGGGCCAACGAAGAAATAGGTGCTGAAAGGAAAGGAGATCAAAATACCATATTCCCAAGGATATTCTCAGGGGTAATATACCCTTAAGCCTAACCAGGTCCACAACTTCTAGTAGCTCTCATTCTGAGAGCTCCCTGAAACCCCATATCATCAAGTTGACTGTGACTCTCGGTGCCCCTCCACTGAGCTCCTGAGGCTGCAAATCATACTAGGAGTGTGGCTGGTGGATTGTACCACTGGCCTTTCATTTAGCAAGCAGTCCAAGAGGTAACACACTAGCCAATATGTAATGCACCACCAAGGAAAGACAAGTAAGGAAAGACAGCTTTAGAAAAGCCCATGCTCTCCTATTTCTTGATGTTGATGTAAGAAGTCCAGCGTTATGCTAACTTAGAAATTAGAAGATATGATTAGAAGAGGGGGAAACCTAACGAAAAAATAATGACTGCTTCAGGAGATCTATGGCCAGTACACCATGGAAGGTGTTCTGCCTACACGTACTCCCTCATTGCTGTTGTGTAGGAACCAACTCCTAGCTAACCCTCTAGTGAGTTCTTGCTGGTGGATCCAAACCTGTCTTTGGGTTAGCAGCACAACTCCCTATGGACTATACCACCAAAACTTAAAAAAACCAAACAAAACCCCCAACCCAGAGCTATGGTGTAGATTCTGACTCTTAGAGACCCTAGAGGGCAGCAAAAAAACTGCCACAGCTGTAAATCTTTATAGAAGCAGACTGCTTCATCTTTTTCCCTAGGTACAGCTGGTGAGTTCAAATTGCCAACTTTCCAGGTGAATGCAAACTAAAATCATAATCTCCCTCAAAAAGGCTAACGTGAAAAAGGTAAACTTGCTGGTGAAGATGAAGAGCCACTAAAACGCTTCCACACTGTTATAATCGTATAAGTTGTACACACACTTTGGAGAACCATTTGGAAGTACCGCTAAACAGAACTAGTACATGACCCGTATACTACGATCTGTCTCAGCAATTCCATTCTTACACATACACCAAGCAGAAATGAGCACATCTATGCACCAAAGACATGTACTAAATATTCACAGCAACTCTCTTTATAATAGTCAATGGATGGAACCAAATCAAATGCCCATCAAGAGTTGTTGTTGTTGTTGTTATGTGCCATCGAGTTGCTTGCAACTCATAGTGACCCTCTGTATAACAGCTCTAAACTCTGCTCTGTCCTGTGCCAATCTCACTGTCTCCGACACACTCATCCCAATTGCTCCAGTCACCAAATCAATCCACCTCCCAGAGGGCCTTCCCCTCCTGCACATGCCCTCCACCCTCCC